CTTTAACCTCAGACAAAATCTGAAGTTAACTGTAAAAAAAACCAAAGTCCATTTATTATTAAAATACGGAAAAATAAAAATAGATATTTTCAAAATTTTGCCCTGGATACTGTATTTTGGTCATAAACAAGCTTCTGTCCCAATTTCATAAAATTCCATGTAGGTTTGACAAAGTTATTGATGTCCAGAAAAACTTTAACCACAGACTGAACTTAAATGTTGACGCCGCCGACACCGACGACAACGGAATCTAGGATCGCTATGTCTCGCTTTCGCAAAATAAATTTCGCAGGCTCGACAAAATTGTTTTTGTTGAAGGGTTGTCTTAGAAACAGATATCTGCACGCGTTGTATTTTACTAACTATTCTTCTTCGACCTAATTAAAACTATAAATAGAGAAAGATTTGGTATATACGTCACGAATGTGATACGAAAATGAACCCTGCTTTGTGTTGAAAATATATTGAATTTGTAAATCACTTGCAATGAAATCGCTTCAAGAATTATTTTCTATATTTCCAGATTTGAAAGACGCATGTTGATATAGTACATCTTACTTTATCGAAAAGTTTTTGATTTGTTTTCGTGACTTTTAGCCAGAAAATACCTTTTTATGTATTACATTCCTTCTATAAAAAGAGGCAGAAGTTACCAAAGAGATAGTCGACCTCATAAGTTGAATACAAGCTGATAGCGTCATGGTAAACACGAAAAATGATGAAAAGACCAACAACTGTCTTCAAAACACAACATAGAAAAATAAATACTGAACAACACGAACCTCGTCAAAATCCGGATGTGATAACAGGTGCTCTATAAGGGTAGTCAGATCCTTCTCCACATGTGGCACCGATCGTTTTGTACAAGTTCGATGAAAAGTCTCATTCGGAGATGTTGCATACAGAAGAATGAATCCTCTAAAGAATCCATCCTACTATTTGTTTTTTTATTCTTGCATACTTTTAAACTAAAGATAGTCATAGTCACCAAAATCTGTCAAGAGAGTCTTTTATTTTGTTAAAAAAAACCATTGCAATATCGATTTTTAATCAAATACAAAGGTAACGGCATGGTTAGTAACATTATCAACCTTTACGACAGACAAAACAGCTAATCTGAAAGGTACACCATCTACTTGCCACTATACATCATGTACTGTGTTACAACCCTTGATTAAGCTGAACAGGAAATAACAAAAGCTATGTTATGTAAAGCCTAGTCGAGTGGTCTATGGCGCTGGACACAGTGCAGGAGTTCGAATCCCGCTGAGGGAGGAACAAAAATTTACTAACATATTTCGGCTAAATTTGATATGAAGGATATATAAGTCATGGTGTTTGCCCTGTATAACCACGGGGTGTCCGATGGAGAACGTCTTTCGTAAATTTGTCTCATGTTTAGAAGTATATATATATGAAACATTTTAATCTGTATAATTTGTCATTCTGCATTGTTTATTATACCGCGAAACTTTTTTTGTGTTTTTATTGTTTCGTTCAATTTGTTTAAAAGCGTTTGTTTGGTTTTATTAAAAAATTGAAATACTGAATAGACTTTTAGATCATTTCAAACAGATTAAGCGCATAAAGAAATACTTAACTAAATAATTCTATTAACAGAAACTTTAATAACAAAAATATAGAAACGGATTAACAAAACATAAAACAAGTCCAATAGCGACTATTATAACATAACATTAACTATATTATATCACAGTTACTTTATATCACAGTTACTTTGTATCACAGCTACTTCGTATCACAGTTAGTTTATATCACAGCTACTTTGTATCACAGCTACTTTGTATCACAGTTAGTTTGCATCACAGCTACTTTGTATCACAGCTACTTTGTATCACAGTTACTTTGTATCACACTTTGATTTATCACAGTTACTTCGTATCACAGTTACCTGGCATCAAAGTTACTTTGTTGTATCATACTTAAATTTGTCATATCACAGTAAGGTTGTTGTATCACAACTTTTTATATAATATCACGGTTACTTTGGTCTAGAGAGCTGAAAATGAGGCTAAGCGATTGGTGATGTAGTGTATCAAAGGTGTCAGTTCAAATCCCGTTGAGGGACAAAAATTTTTCAGCATAAAAATCTAATTCTTAACACTGTTGGGTTTAATTTTCAGACTTATATATATATATATATATATATAAACAAGTCTTAATTGAAAACAACGTTCAAACCTATGATTGCGTTGGATAAAAACCGCAATTTTTATACGTGTGCATGCAAAACAAATTTCTTGTTAGAGGGGTCTAAATACAGCACAAACAACATTTTCCAAAAGACTAAAAAAGTGAAAAAGTATATTTTAACAAAACGCATTTGACTAACAGGTCGAACAACGTATGTTCTTAAACCCCGCTGACTGCCATTGGCGATGTAATAAATGGATCTTAATTATAAATTTAATACTAAACAGAAAACAATAAACTTGCGGAAAAGATGGTATACCGTAAACAAAAGGGGCAAAGGTTTTTGTACACCATATCCGGATTTCGACAATTAATGTCTCTTCAGTGATGTTAGGAATCGAAACGGTATTTGGAAAGCCATACAATTTACCTCAATTTAGGATGGACTCTTGAATTTTGAGGAGTCAAAATAGGATGAACGGATCATATAAACCCGAAGGCAAATAATATATATAATAAGCAAGTCTAAAAGGGTACATCTCCCTTTTAACCTTTTCTTTAGATGCTATTTTGGCCTTGACGATGAGCTTTTATGCAAGTTTCATAACAATCCATGGAGTTTACAAATTTATCATGTACAAAAAATTTAACCCCAGACTGTCTGTAAATGTTAACTGTAAAAAATGAAGTTCATCTTTCAGAAAAATACTAGAAATGAAAAAAATATAATTTCAAAGGTTTGCTGCAGACATTATCTCTTAATCATTAAAAAGCTACTGCAAAAGTTTCATAAAACTCTATGAAGGTTTGACAAAGTAATTGATGTGTAACAAACTTTAATCCCAGACTGTATCTACTTGTTAACTGTAAAAAAACTAAGTCTATATATCAGTAAAATACGAAAAAATGAAAATAAATATTTGCAAAATTTTGCTCTGGATACTGTCTTTTGGTCATAAACAAGCTTCTGTACAAATTTTTTAAAATTCAATGAAGGTTTGACAAAGTTGTTGATGACTGAAAAACTTTAACCTCAGACAAAATCTGAAGTTAACTGTAAAAAAAACCAAAGTCCATTTATTATTAAAATACGGAAAAATAAAAATAGATATTTTCAAAATTTTGCCCTGGATACTGTATTTTGGTCATAAACAAGCTTCTGTCCCAATTTCATAAAATTCCATGTAGGTTTGACAAAGTTATTGATGTCCAGAAAAACTTTAACCACAGACTGAACTTAAATGTTGACGCCGCCGACACCGACGACAACGGAATCTAGGATCGCTATGTCTCGCTTTCGCAAAATAAATTTCGCAGGCTCGACAAAATTGTTTGGTGATGTAGTGTATCAAAGGTGTCAGTTCAAATCCCGTTGAGGGACAAAAATTTTTCAGCATAAAAATCTAATTCTTAACACTGTTGGGTTTAATTTTCAGACTTATATATATATATATAAATAAACAAGTCTTAATTGAAAACAACGTTCAAACCTATGATTGCGTTGGATAAAAACCGCAATTTTTATACGTGTGCATGCAAAACAAATTTCTTGTTAGAGGGGTCTAAATACAGCACAAACAACATTTTCCAAAAGACTAAAAAAGTGAAAAAGTATATTTTAACAAAACGCATTTGACTAACAGGTCGAACAACGTATGTTCTTAAACCCCGCTGACTGCCATTGGCGATGTAATAAATGGATCTTAATTATAAATTTAATACTAAACAGAAAACAATAAACTTGCGGAAAAGATGGTATACCGTAAACAAAAGGGGCAAAGGTTTTTGTACACCATATCCGGATTTCGACAATTAATGTCTCTTCAGTGATGTTAGGAATCGAAACGGTATTTGGAAAGCCATACAATTTACCTCAATTTAGGATGGACTCTTGAATTTTGAGGAGTCAAAATAGGATGAACGGATCATATAAACCCGAAGGCAAATAATATATATAATAAGCAAGTCTAAAAGGGTACATCTCCAAAAAAATAGTAAAATCATGAACAAATATTAAATAATTCGGATAACTAATATCCTTTATCAGTAAGATGTCAAATGATTCTTTTCTTGACATGTGGTAGTCCTGTACTGAAGCCTGAGTTACAGGAAACAAGTGATGGTAGGGACTCATTTTATGTTTTTTTGTTATTTATCGATGGCTATTTTATATGTGTGTGTGTGTGTGTGTGTGACATTTTAATCTGTATAATTGGTCATTTTGCGTTGTTTATCATACCGCGAAACTTTGGCCCATTTTTTTTTGTTTCGTTCAATTTGTTTGTAAGTGTTTGTTTGGTACTATCAAAAAAAAAAATACTGAATCAGACTTTCAGATCATTTCAAACAAATAAGGCCCATAAAGAAATACTGAACTAAAAAATTCTATTTATAGAAACTTTAATAACAAAAATATAGAAACGGATTAACAAAACATAAACTGTAATAAAACAAGTCAATAGCGACTATTATAACATAACATTAAATCATATCACAGTTACTTTGTATCACAGATAGTTGTATCACAGTTATTTTGTATCACAGTTTGTTGTATCAGTTACCATGTTGTATCACAGTTAGTTGTATCACAGTTTCTTGTATCACAGTTACTTTGTATCACAGTTACTTTGTATCACCTTGTATCACAGGTACCTTGCATTACAGTTACTTTGTTGTATCATAGTTAAATTTAACATATCACAGTAAGGTTGTTGTATTACAATTATTTATTTAATATCACAGTTACTTTGATCTATAGCACTATATTAGCTTTCCGTAAAATGTTTTCTTTTGAGTAGTACTACCATAAGAAACATTTTCAATCACTTTTCATAAAAAAGTTCATATTACAAGCGTATGGATCTTTTTGCATGTCGCCGTTTTTCTCCAGCGGTCCAAGACTTTGACTTTGCCCGGAAATGACGTAAATCGGACGAGTGTTCATAATGGATCATTGGTTTGTAATTAATTGGATCGCAATACATCGACTTTTCGTTGAAAAAAGATTTGTATCCTTCATCCAGTAAATATACTTCTGGGTAGTTCAAGGCAGGATAGTTTTCTTTATTCAATTCACGATCTTTACTTCTCAGGAATCGCATCATCTTTGGGCCTCGTTCTGATGAAAACTCACAGTGAAAAACAAGAATTTGCTTCTCTGCAGTCGACTGTTGAAGAAGTTCCAAGATGGATGCATGTAAATACCTGTTTTCGGCACCTTCGATGTGACCTCCTTCGAATTCATACGGGTATCTGCAGTCGATGATTCGATAACTATTGATGACGTTTTTGTATCTACCGTCAATGACATCAGAAAGTGTCTGTGGAGAGATGCTTTTCAGATCCTGGTGTTTTCCTGCAACTGATGGAAGCGAGTAGGTTCTGCTGCAATCAGCAATTAAGTCTTCATTCAGTGTAAGTTTGTTGACGACAGTCTTTAAATCTCTGCAAGCTTTAACGGAATCACCCTGGTGATATTTTGTCAACGACCTCTTGGCACCAGGAGTCATAAAAGAAATAGTGTCTGCCTTTGGTTTTGTTGCTTTGAATCCAAAGGGTTCCATGTCACTAATCATCTGGTAACATTCGTCATCGTCCTGAAATAGTTGTTTAGGGAGCATTTTTGTTGTGGTAGGTTACTTCACAAAAGTCGTGATTGAATTTGACTTTTTAAGGTAAAGCACGAATATTTATGGAGAACGAACATTTTGACAAATCATAATTTTAAAGAACCGTGTTCACTTCATTACTCAGATCATTTCAGAATTAATCACTCGTTGTCTTTTGACCATAGCTTTGACCTCTGATTAACCTTGTCAAAGATGAAAGCGCGGCTTATCATGGTTTGTCAAGATTTTTAATTAAAGTATAAGGCAATTAAGTTCAATGTTCAGCAGAAACGATGATATATTTAATGTCTGAAAAAAGTTCACTTAATTAATGATACTTTTGTGTAATAATGAAAGACTAATTCAGTTTTTATATATGAAGTATTCCCATACAATTTTTTTTTTTATTAAAATGAATAAATAAAATGAAAAGAAAATTTAAAATAAAAGAATAAATAATACAAAATAAAGTTGAAAAAAATAGCATAAATATAACTGCTATAAATAAAATAAAATAACACTGTTTAAATAAAACTTGTTTTAAACCTTTATAGTAATAATTTTATTTATTTTTCAATTGTAGATTCTTAAATATATAAATTGTTTATATGTATATCCAACAACATAAATAATGGTCCACTTTTTTCCTTATACAGAAGTTTCATAATTTTTTGTTTATGCAAAAAAACTAACTTTAGTATGTTTTAAGCGTATTAACCTGGAAATTAATTTATGGGTTTATAAACAAGTTTTCGTTTTAGTGTCGACCTTCGTTGTGCTCGTCCAATTAAAAAAAAATATGAGTTATAATTAGACAATTTCAAATTTGTCATTAGAACAAACTTCGATAAGAAACTAGGCATAATTTTACTTTTCTATTTTTTTCAGATTTAAATTTACACCCGACATTTTCCTCTTTTCTTTTGTTTGTTTTAAATATAAAAATAAGGAGATGTGGTGTGATTGCCAATGAGACAACCATCCACCAAAGTTCAAATGAAGTGGATGTAAGCAATTTTAGGCAACCGTACGGCCTTCAACAATGAGAAAAAACCAATACCGTAAAGTCGGCTATAAAAGACCCTACATGAAAGAAGATGAAACAATTCAAACGAGAAAACTAACGGCCTAATTTATAACAAAATTTACGAAAAACAAATATGACGGACATGAACCAACGACAACCACTGAACTACGGGCTCCTGACTTGGGACAGGCACATAAAGAATGTGGCGGGTTTAAACATGTTTGTGAGCGCTCAAAATTATCTTTTTAAGTAGTCAAAAGTTGGAATTAAACAAAAATGTCCTTTTTACAAATGATATTTATGACTCCCAAACATTGTGTAAAAGTTTTGACTTTTTCAAACAAATTTTAAAAAGTTACATACAAAAGAAATAATTACTCCATAGAAATTAATGTTGTTCTTTTGTTTCTTTTGTTGTTCAGTATATAATGTCGTGCTATATACTTGTCTTGCAGTCTTCTAAGATCAATTCATGGACCTTTTGATAATATGGAGTATTATCTGAAATTAGAAGTACGTGTGTCCAGTGACTGTAGTAATACCTTCTTATTTTTGTAACGAGAGCATATACACTTTTTTATACGTATAGCAACATAAGAGAGACGACCATTTAATTCTCATGGTTAAAAAAAAGGGGTGGGGTATTTGTGGATTTTTTTTCTTGGCTGGTGAAATATTCATTTTTCCTTTTGCTAGTCCGGCTTTGTTTTGATAGCAGTAACCAACATTGCTTTGAAACCTTCACCTACATGTTAGACCACATAGATTTTACAGTGTTTTCCAACGTTGGCAGTACGTGGTACTCTTCGAACATTTGGTATTGAATTTAATGAATATCCCTATCCGATTGAATGTGATTGCGTATAAAAGCAGATAAAAAGACGCCCTCCAGTCTTAGAATTGAAAATTCTTCCAGATAAGATAAGAAATCTCAAAATTTTGCGAAGAAGAATTCATTGATTTTGAGCAATACTCTTAAACGATTGTCTTAGTGGTCTAAATGAATTGTTTTATTTAAGGTAGTAACTCACAGTTGCCATTCTGGTTGACATTATTGAATTCAGAAACATGCGAAAAGAGAGAACTGTAGTTAGAAATGAGAAAAACATTGGGTCAAAATTATTTTTGAGCCATTATATAACAGCTTGGTCATTCCCGAACCCATTATAAAAATAAGGAAATGTGGTATGATTGCCAATGAGACAACTATCCACCAGAGTTCAAATTATCCAAAATAAGTAATAACCATAACTTAAATTGCATGACTATTTTCCCAAATCGGTGAAAAACTTACTATGGCACTAATTTAATTTCCCTCAAGTTACCAGTAATATATATAGCGGTTATTTAAGTAATCTCGCATCGCCAAAAACAAATGACACATGAAAAGCAAACGGTGAAGTTTTGGACAGCGGAAGCATGTTTTCTATATTGTTGTGATAAGATGTAATATTTGCCACTGAACGTTAAACGAAATTCAACATCACCGTCATCATTGTTCTGTTATGATTCGAACGCAAATGATGAATCTTATGTAGGATAAAACACATGTCTGGGGGACTATACAGAGATCGTCAGTCCAGTAGCATCTAGTCGAATAGTAGATATGAAGATTGTCAGTCCAGTAGCACCTAATCGGATAGTACATACATAAAATAAGGAGCAGTAGTGTGATTGCCAATAAGACAACTACAAAAGAGTCCAGATATTAAAACTAATAATAAAAACTAAAGGTACACAGTTATATACGTCACGAATGTGATACGAAAATGAACCCTGCTTTGTGTTGAAAATATATTGAATTTGTAAATCACTTGCAATGAAATCGCTTCAAGAACTATTTTCTATATTTCCAGATTTGAAAGACGCATGTTGATATAGTACATCTTACTTTATCGAAAAGTTTTTGATTTGTTTTCGTGACTTTTAGCCAGAAAATACCTTTTTATGTATTACATTCCTTCTATAAAAAGAGGCAGAAGTTACCAAAGAGATAGTCGACCTCATAAGTTGAATACAAGCTGATAGCGCCATGGTAAACACGAAAAATGATGAACAGACCAACAACTGTCTTCAAAATACAACATAGAAAAATAAATACTGAACAACACGAACCTCATCAAAATCCGGAGGTGATAACAGGTGCTCTATAAGGGTAGTCAGATCCTCCTCCACATGTGGCACCATCGTTTTGTACAAGTTCGATGAAAAGTCTCATTCGGAGATGTTGCATACAGAAGAATGAATCCTCTAAAGAATCCATCCTACTATTTGTTTTTTTATTCTTGTATACTTTTAAACTAAAGATAGTCATAGTCACCAAAATCTGTCAAGAGAGTCTTTTATTTTGTTAAAAAAACCCATTGCAATATCGATTTTTAATCAAATACAAAGGTAACGGCATGGTTAGTAACATTATCAACCTTTACGACAGACAAAACAGCTAATCTGAAAGGTACACCATCTACTTGCCACTATACATCATGTACTGTGTTACAACCCTTGATTAAGCTGAACTGGAACTAACAAAAGCTATGTTATGTAAAGCCTAGTCGAGTGGTCTATGGCGCTGGACACAGTGCAGGAGTTCGAATCCCGCTGAGGGAAGAACAAAAATTTACTAACATATTTCGGCTAAATTTGATATGAAGGATATATAAGTCATGGTGTTTGCCCTGTATAACCACGGGATGTCCGATGGAGAACGTCTTTCGTAAATTTGTCTCATGTTTAGAAGTATATATATATGAAACATTTTAATCTGTATAATTTGTCATTCTGCATTGTTTATTATACCGCGAAACTTTTTTTGTGTTTTTATTGTTTCGTTCAATTTGTTTGAAAGTGTTTGTTTGGTTTTATTAAAAAATTGAAATACTGAATAGACTTTTAGATCATTTCAAACAGATTAAGCGCATAAAGAAATACTTAACTAAATAATTCTATTAACAGAAACTTTAATAACAAAAATATAGAAACGGATTAACAAAACATAAAACAAGTCCAATAGCGACTATTATAACATAACATTAACTATATTATATCACAGCTACTTTAATTCACAGTTACTTTGTATCACAGCTACTTTGTATCACAGTAAGTTTGAATCACAGCTTCTTTGTATCACAGTTAGTTTATATCACAGCTACTTTGTATCACAGCTACTTTGTATCACAGTTAGTTTGCATCACAGCTACTTTGTATCACAGTTAGTTTATATCACAGCTACTTTGTATCACAGCTACTTTGTATCACAGTTACTTTGTATCACACTTTGATGTATCACAGTTAGTTCGTATCACAGTTACCTGGCATCAAAGTTACTTTGTTGTATCATAGTTAAATTTGTCATATCACAGTAAGGTTGTTGTATCACAACTTTTTATATAATATCACGGTTACTTTGGTCTAGAGAGCTGAAAATGAGGCTAAGCGATTGGTGCTGTAGTGTATCTAAGGTGTCAGTTCAAATCCCGTTGAGGGACAAAAATTTGTAAGCATAAAAATCTAATTCTTAACACTGTTGGGTTTAATTTTCAGACTTATATATATATATATATTGTGGCATACCATCTTTTCCACAAGTTTATTGTTTTCTGTTTGGCATTAAATTAATATTAAGATCCATTTTGTAAGATCTGGTGATCAATTTATTTGGCAATCGCCAATGGCAGTCAGCAGGGTTTAAGAACATCAGTTGTTCGACCTGTTAGTCAAATGCGTTTTGTTAAAATAGACTTTTTCACTTTTTTTGGTCTTTTGGAAATTGTTGTTTGTGCTGTATTTAGACCCCTTTATCAAGAAATTTGTTTTACATGCACACGTATAAAAATTGCGGTTTTTATCCAACGCAATCATATGTTTGAACGTTTGCCTTCGGGTTTATATGATCCGTTCATCCTATTTCGACTCTTCAAAATTCAAGAGTCAATCCCAAATTGACGTAAATTATATGGCCTTCCAAATACCGTTTCGATTCCTAACATCACTGAAGAGACATTAATTGTCGAAATCCGGATATGGTGTACAAATTTTTGCACCTCATGTTTGCGGTATACCATCTTTTCCGCAAGTTTTTTGTTTTCTATTTGGTATTAGATTAAAATTAAGATCCATTTTGTTACATCTGTGATCCGTTTATTTGGCAATCGCTATGGCATTCAGCAGGGTTTAAGATCATCCGTTGTTCGACCTGCTAGTCAAATGCGTTTTGTTAAAATATACTTTTTCACTTTTTTGGTCTTTCGGAAAATGTTGTTTGTGCTGTATTTAGACCCCTCTAACAAGAAATTTGTTTTGCATGTACACGTATAAAAATTGCGGTTTTTATCCAACGCAATATTATATATAATAAGCAAGTCTAAAAGGGTACATCTCCAAAAAAATAGTAAAATCATGAACAAATATTAAATATTTCGGATAACTAATATCCTTCATCAGTAAGATGTCAAATGATTCTTTTCTTGACATGTGGTAGTCGAACTGAAATAATAATCTTGAACGTCATACAAATTATCACAAATCAATACGCTGGTAATTTTTTTCAATATTGATGTTTGGATGGAGGAATAAATTGCTTAATACTATGAGAGTCCTGTACTGAAGCCTGAGTTACAGGAAACAAGTGATGGTAGGGACTCATTTTATGTTTTTTGTTATTTATCGTTGGCTATTATATGTGTGTGTGTGTGTGTGTGACATTTTAATCTGTATAATTGGTCATTCTGCGTTGTTTATCATACCGCGAAACTTTGGCCCTTTTTTTTTTGTTTCGTTCAATTTGTTTGTAAGTGTTTGTTTGGTACTATCAAAAAAAAAATACTGAATCAGACTTTCAGATCATTTCAAACAAATAAGGCCCATAAAGAAATACTGAACTAACAAATTCTATTTATAGAAACTTTAATAACAAAAATATAGAAACGGATTAACAAAACATAAACTGTAATAAAACAAGTCAATAGCGACTATTATAACATAACATTAAATCATATCACAGTTACTTTGTATCACAGATAGTTGTATCACAGTTATTTTGTATCACAGTTTGTTGTATCAGTTACCATGTTGTATCACAGTTAGTTGTATCACAGTTTCTTGTATCACAGTTACTTTGTATCACAGTTACTTTGTATCACCTTGTATCACAGGTACCTTGCATTACAGTTACTTTGTTGTATCATAGTTAAATTTAACATATCACAGTAAGGTTGTTGTATTACAATTATTTATTTATTATCACAGTTACTTTGATCTATAGCACTATATTAGCTTTCCGTAAAATGTTTTCTTTTGAGTAGTACTACCATAAGAAACATTTTCAATCACTTTTCATAAAAAAGTTCATATTACAAGCGTATGGATCTTTTTGCATGTCGCCGTTTTTCTCCAGCGGTCCAAGACTTTGACTTTGCCCGGAAATGACGTAAATCGGACGAGTGTTCATAATGGATCATTGGTTTGTAATTAATTGGATCGCAATACATCGACTTTTCGTTGAAAAAAGATTTGTATCCTTCATCCAGTAAATATACTTCTGGGTAGTTCAAGGCAGGATAGTTTTCTTTATTCAATTCACGATCTTTACGTCTCAGGAATCGCATCATCTTTGGGCCTCGTTCTGATGAAAACTCACAGTGAAAAACAAGAATTTGCTTCTCTGCAGTCGACTGTTGAAGAAGTTCCAAGATGGATGCATGTAAATACCTGTTTTCGGCACCTTCGATGTGACCTCCTTCGAATTCATACGGGTATCTACAGTCGATGATTCGATAACTATTGATGACGTTTTTGTATCTACCGTCAATGACATCAGAAAGTGTCTGTGGAGAGATGCTTTTCAGATCCTGGTGTTTTCCTGAAACTGATGGAAGCGAGTAGGTTCTGCTGCAATCAGCAATTAAGTCTTCATTCAGTGTAAGTTTGTTGACGACAGTCTTTAAATCTCTGCAAGCTTTAACGGAATCACCCTGGTGATATTTTGTCAACGACCTCTTGGCACCAGGAGTCATAAAAGAAATAGTGTCTGCCTTTGGTTTTG